CGTTAAAGAGCGGCAAGAAAGACTGAAAGAGCGTGGATTGAGTATGGTGTAAGAAGTGAAATGGTCAAAGTGTTTTATAAATAAAACAGTTGCATCACAATACATTGACTAAGATGAAATAATGGCATCATCTCGGGGATTTTTGAAAAGAGGGCCAGTTGGTTACATGTAAGCAATGTGCAATGGATATCATTGGTATATTAGATAAACTGTTGCGCCTTTACACTGTTCACCAGATTTGCATTAGTAATTGTTCTAAACATGTTAGGCCTTGTTCGGTTAATCCCCACCACAAGGGGATTGGAGAGGATTGGAGGGGTTTGATGTGGATTTTGACTTGCTGGGGATTTAATCCCTGCCAATCTGCTGCAAACCCCTTGAAACCCTGTGGAACCGAACAAGGCCTTAGGCATCTGATTAGTGACATTTGTTCCTGATCATGGAGAAGACTTGATGCCCATCTAAATTTGCACTGATAATACAACCGAGTCAGGCTCTTTGCTGAACTTAATTAGTCATTCACTTTATGATATTTGACATGTAGGGCACACTTCTAATTCTCAGGAAAAGTATATGTAATGCAGTGTTGCTAGATTCGGTTCACAGTTCGGTTCTACTCCCTCTGTCCCAGAATATAAAAACGTTTTTGACACTATGCTAGTGTTAAAAATGTTCTTATATTTTGGGACGGAGGAAGTAAGTTCTTACATATAGCAGGCTCATTGATGAACATCTTCAGAAACCTACCGCCTTTGTTTATTAAGGCAAACTTCCATCTCGTAGAGAAAAGAAAATCCTCAGCAATACAAGTATGCACATACGCCTCAAGAGGCATGCCACGGTCGTGCCCATCCACTAGTATCTACAATACGATGCTACTCCCTCCGTCCCATAACATAATAGTGTTTTTGACATTACTATAGTGTCAAAAATGCTCTTATATTATGGGACAGAGGAAGTACACGACAATGAACAGCAACTGCTACAGTGTTATATGACATAGTATGGAACCGAGATCCAAGTTAGATAGGGCATAGCGAACCAGCCTGTGGTTGGATGGTTAGGTGGATAGTGATATCCCAGCCCACCAGATGCTCGCATTTATCCTGGATTTATTTCAGGATTTCCGGCGATGCATGTCCAATGGGAGGAGACGTTCCCGTCGACTACGAGGTGCCTACAGTGACTTCGTAAAATCTCAAGATGATATGCCGGCTCAGTCTCTCGAAGGTGCTCATAAGGATAGGGTGTGCGTCTGTATTGTGTTAAAAAAAAGGTTAGATAGGGCGTGTCTGGTAGGTTGTATGAAGCTCAATAACTCTAGTGGGATAAGTCTGAGTTGTTTGGTTGCCTGGCTTGCAGAAAGAACAGGCTCACACGAAACTTAAATCACCCCTCAGCCAGACCCGACAAGAAAGCTCTGTTCGGCGGTTTTTTCAGATGCAGGCTCAGGCTAGTGCAATTTGCACTATGAAGGAGGATGCAATATGGGGTAAATGCAAACGACCAAACGACAAGCAGAACATGGCCCGGAGCCCGCATACCCTCAAACAAAACGGGGTAAATGCAAAGGACTAAACGACATGCAAAATGTGCCCCGGAGCCCGCGTACCCATACCCTTAAACAAGCTCTACTCAGTAGGCTCCCGATAAACGCGAAAAGAATGCAACCAAACATGTCAATACTGTAGCATTCCCTACGCACTGTCCTGTATCCTTCATCGGGTGAAGCGTTTCAAGATTTATCTGGACCATCATTTAGACCAATTATATATAGCATGTGGTGTACTCCCTCCATTTCTTTTTTGCTTTGCATATAAAATTTGGCCAAAGTCAAACTAAACAAAGTTTGATCAAATTTATATAAAAAATATCAACACCTACAGTACTAAATTTATATGGTATGAAAGTTAATTTCATGATGCATCTAATGATATTGATTTTATATTGTGAATATTGATATTTTTTCCTATAAAGTTAGTCAAATTTTATATGCAAACTAAAAAGAAACAGAGGAAGTACTAAAGAGTGCCATCGAAGGAAAATGCCAAATGGAGGCCAGCTCCATGGAGGCCGAATTTGAAAACTTCAAAATTCAACCTTTTCAGTTCTAAAAACTTTAAAAAATACACATATACCAAGAGATATGGTGTACCCGTGTGTAATTTTTCGAGTCAAACTGCGTTAAAATGAGGGCTATACCAAAAAAAAAGCCAAATTTGTGGCTTTCTAGCATATATATTGGTCATCCTCAAAGTCCATGATTTTGGTTTTTGCATGCAACTCGCAATTCAAGGTATTTCATCCTCAAATTTTACAGACAGATTACATCCTTGTATACATGTGTATTTGTTTTCAGAATTTTTTGAAACTGAAAGTTTGGTTTTGAATTTTTCAAATAAAGGCCTCCATGGATCTTGGTCTCCGATATGCCCTATTGGCAATCGAATTCATATTCGAAAGGAGTTTCCAATAGTATGATTTTTCTAGCATACATCTCATGTATTATCGATTTTATCATGGTCAACATAAATCTCAAATATACCATAAATACTATTTATGGATAGAGGGAGTACTTAAAATTAAGGGTATATAAATGTAATTATTGGTGCTAATGTATTCCTCTGTCCTCAAATAAGTGAACATTTAGCATTTGAAATTTGTCCACAAAAGAATGCTTCTATCTTCTCAATGCATTTTAAAGTAGAAAAACAATAATTCTCTCTCATCACAGGAATCAAGCCCAATAACATTTAACACATGATCTCATTTTCTACATACGCTTAGCTCATTGAAGGTGGGAGGAAATTAAAGAGGAGAGAGATGGTAGCTTGCACCTTTCCAATGCATTTTCTACTCCATTCCATAATTCGTCTTAAAATTTCTATACTTATTTGAGGACGGAGGAAGTATATTTATGTATGGAGGGATTAGCAGCGTGAATTATTCGTCCTAATGTATATTTTCAATCTTATTGCTATCGCACTAGCTTAATCCTGAAGTACCCAGCAACATCTGTGGCCAAAAAAGGGAGAAACACAGCGAGAAAGTAACTGTAAAAAGTACTCCCTCCATAGAGAAATATAAGAGCGTTTAGATCGCTATTTCTTTACAGAGGGAGTACATAGTGGGAGATTAAATTCTCTCCATAAGAGCATGCATTGTACTCCAACCAGAGTTAAACCGTACAAGTCAGACACTTGTCAATTACATGGCATCTACAATGGCGTTGAAAGCTTAATGAAGACAGGAATGTGACTAGGCAAGGGGAAACTAACAAACTGCGGCAACAACATACCATTATTTGTCCAATGCTAAGATGTTGACAATACTCCAAAGTGTAGCACACGTCCAGTACCTCAGTCTCAGTTCTCAAATGGATTCTGTTGGACCCAACTTTCAGAAGTACCCAACGCCCTTCACTTCACCTATCTTGGGGCCATTCCCATCGTTACCAAGAAACAGAAACCGACCTGTTCGTAAGAAACAACTTTATCATATTCTACCAAAACCTAAACACGGTCACAAAGCTGAACATAATTCCAAATGCCATGTAACTTTAATTCGTACGTTGAAACTGAGCATAAATCGCAATGCTTAACATAATTCCAAATGCCATGCAAGTTTTAATTCATATGTTGAAAACTGAGCATAAAAAAACCAGCACAGAAAATCAGCTTATCAATGTGACTACAAGGGGCATGTGGACATCATTAATGAGACAATTGGTATACTACATAAACTTTGTCACGAACCAAAATGAGTAAATTAAGGGACAACGCTGAAGCCGGCTATGGAACATTTATATGGTTAGTTGTTCTTTATCTGAAAGTATTAGATGGTGTTTTGATGATTTTAGAGTGGACTAGATCAAGAGTTGTTCTGAATAAAATAATTGTGTTGTCACATGGGTAAATAGTTAGAACCCTGCAGTAGTAACATACTCCCTCCATCCTGAACCGCGACAAGTAATTCGGGACGGAGAGAGTAGGTTAGAGCCTAACCCAATAATGTATGGAAAAAACACAAGCGGAGTCTAAGCTTTGGCGTGGAAAATCACAAACAACAGAGTTTTATCATGCTACAATTAGTAGTTCAAGAGACGAAATCAATACAGCTCTATTTAGCAATGATTTGATGTTTTAATTGACACAAAACAAATTACAATCGGCTACTTTTTTATGTTAAAATGCAGAAGAAAATGTGATCTAAAGTGAAAATGTAGAAGATGAAGATTCAAACTACTACATAATATGCAAGTGCTTATGCAGTTGGTATTTCAGTGCACAATCTAGACTCCTGAACACATTAAGTGTTTAGACAACAACACATTACATGTAGAGCACAGTTCGCAACAGCCTCATAAGTCCGTTTGAAACATTGGGAAGTATGGATCAAGGAGGAGATGCCCCATGAACTGAAGATGGCTGTTATATAGGTTTGCGGCAGAGCAGCTAGTAGTACTCTGCTTGTGCAGTTGTGAATCAGCCTGAAGATATACCAAACCCAGATAGTGGGAATGCAGAAAATATTTTGATTACAAGTGATTTCATTCATGGGGCTTCAAAAATGTATTTTCTATGTTTTTTCTTCACTACAGCACTGTATGTGGTTACACTAACATATGATGAGATGGCAATCTTTTTGTTCAGAACAAAAGTGGGGGAAGGAATGAAGTCAGCAGCTAGCCGTTATCCTGAATAACTGAACAATGATTATTCAATATGCTACCCTTAAAGCAAAGTTTGTAACAAGAAACATTTAGAAAAATAACAAAATTACTAATGGTGGCATTTAACCTATAATATTTAACAAGTTTCCCCGAGTAAAATTTAAAACTGAAGATTTTTCCTGTAACATAAAAACTTAAGGTTCTAAGACAAGGCTGAAAACAAATAATGGAGGTATAGACCAAAAAAAAAGGTGATTATGTGATATCTAATAAAGAAACATACCATTTCCTCGAACAGCTATTTCTCTTATGCGTCTAACGAGCCCAGTTATAGGATCGGAGAACACCTTTGTCTCAATATTTCCTTCCAAATAGAGAACAGATCTGAAATGTTGCAACTGATCAACTTTAGAGGTATAATTGAAGTCAATTAATAAAAGGAAGAAGAAACACAAAGGGGGCAGCATAAAGCTCAAACTACACTGACCATGTTGCCACTTGGCCAATATGCAAATTCAAATCTACAACCAACAGGACGCATATTCAGTTTCCAACTACAATTAAGATAACCAATCCACCGGAACTGAATAACAGTGCTCTCTAACTTCCACTAATTGGAACTTAGTAAAAGGTAAATGGTCCATACTCAATTATTCACCAAGAGAATCAAGTACTCAGATTTTGCAATCTAGGTGAATGAGTGGCTGGAAGGATGAACAAATGAATAGGCTTGAAAACGACATTAGAGGACTTAAGGATGCCTGTTTACATAATACTCCTCCGTTCACAAATAGAAGATGTTTTCGATATTTCAATATGGACTACATACTACGGAATGAAATGAGTGAACAAACACACTAAAATGTGTCTATATACATCCAATTCATTCACAAAAAAGTTAAAACATCCTATATTTATGAATGGAGCGAGTATTTCGCAAAGCTGAATTAGCAAGGGGTTTGGGCGGTATGATCCGAGTTAGCAAAGCTGAGACTGACGCGCTCAAACATCTCGCTACCTCTAAACTGATGCAGGTCAAAATTGCATCCAACAAAAGGAATATCTAAACAACGCAAGTTCGAGGCAAGGCAAAGGCGCTGACCCGGTCTTGACATGCTTCAGCGCGAGGCTACCCAGCCTGTCTGGGTAGATGCATACGCGGTGCCACTGCACGGAGCTGCGTTCCGCGTACTGGTGCGGCTCCTCGTTGTCCAACGGGCGGCGGTTGTTGCGGATGCCGCCGGTGCCCAGCGAGAACAGCACGACGGTCTTCCCACTCCGCAGCCGCTTCTGCACAGGCTCTTGACCCACCTTTCCCACCATTATAGCCTTCGTGAATCCACCAAAACAAAAAGCGCACATCACATTTCGGCTCTCGCCAAACAAGCCCAAACGGAGAAGAGAACCAAGGGTTCCATAAAACCTTGTAGATGCCGTGGTCGAGGCCATTCTCGAGAGGGCGGGTGGTGATGGGAGGCCTCGGCTGGCTCCGGTACTGATTACCCTGATCGGCGGGTGGCTCAGGGTCGGGCTCGGCATCGGATCCCGCGGCCGAGTGTGAGGACGGGGGCGCGGTGGTGGACAAGGAGCGGAGAGGAGAAGCGACGAAGCGGCGGGAGAGGAGGAGGAAGCGGCGGCCGAGGAGGGAGGAGGAGGTGGCGGCCGCCATGGATGCGCGTCGACGAGAGGAAGAGGGGGAGAGATCGCCGCTAAACCCTGTGCAAAGCCCTAGTTTTCGTGGGTTGCGTCCGGGGCTTTTGGTGGGCCGCCGGCTAGGACGATGACTGATGATGATGATTCGAAAACAAAATTGTGACATGCTCTGTGCACGTGTATAGCATGCGCAAATGCAATATACCGCTCTCAGCAGCATATAGAGTTCGCGTCGCCTATGCGAGCCCACATGGGTCTGCCCAGTAAGCCCATTTTCTTTCCTTCTTAACGGTTAGGTCGACCTGCCGGCAATCTTATCGCTTCTCTTTTCCATCGAAATCACTAGTTAAGTGTACCATTCTCCAAAAAAAAAAACTAGTTAAGGGTACCCTTTGCAAAGATCACTCTCATTTGGTGATGATAAGTAACGCACTGCATGTGTGACACTTGTCACAAATATGGGAGTTTTGTGTTTTTTCATTCATTTGTTTTTTTAATGTTTTACCTCTTGAACATTGCATCCAAATCATAAATCGTTTTCTTCATCATGTTTCTTTCATTGAGATCTTTGAAACTATATCACATGTTAATAGATTTGGACAAAAAAATCAAAAAAGATGATACAATGAAAATAAAAAATAAAAATAATGAAAACAAAAAAACAGAAATTGATAGAAAGGAAAAACAAGCCCAAAAAATAGAAACCAAAGGCAAATTTGTGCTTTTCACTTTTTTGGGAAGCACACCGGTACCTTTTCACTTTCACTTTCTGAAAAAGCACCGTTGTGCATTTTACTTTTTGGAAGCACTGTTGTGGGAAGCATGTGTTAGGATCAATGTCACGGGATTTTTATTGTGCAATTAAGCTTGAGCCTTGCATGCCAATCTCTGTAAAACCATGACAGTGTGAGGACAAGGGTTTCATTGATCTCTTTTCTCCATTGGTACTCCCATAAAACTTCTCTTCTGTCTGTGCGGATTCAGTCATCTAGTAACCACGGTACGCAAAAGTGAATGGGTATAATTTCACAAGGGAAAAAGTCCAAAATAAACCATAAACTCGTAAACGAAAGCTAAATCAAGCCCTGAACTTCCAATCCCTCGAATCAGCATACCAAACTCTCTGATTCCTTTCTATTTTGAACCTTGAGAGCATTTCCAAATAGGGATTATCGATGTGGCACGTAAAATCCTGGGATTGTTGACTGCATATGCAACTGGATTGGCCCACCAGGCACTAAGTGAGTTTTTTTGTTTTTCCCTAACGTGCAATGTAAAGATATACCCAAAAAACATATCTCTATGAATCGAACTTCGAACTTGGCGATGCTCACTAGATCTAATGGGTGTTAGTGCTACAATGAGAGGCCCGACCAAGTTAACCACATTAAGCAGCGTGGAGATCCGAAACATTTATTCAAGGGCAAACAAATATTGAAAACGTAAACAATATTTGAAATCTCAGAAAAAAAGTATGAACAGTTTTTGAATTTCTGAATACTTTTCAGAAAAAAATGAATACTTTTTTTAAAAGACATTTGAAAAGTGAACATAATATAAAAAAATGGGACGCATTTTGAAACCTAAATAAAATATTAAAGTGTGAACACTTTTTGCATTTTTTCAAAAAAAATGGGCACAAATTTAACCTGAAAAAATGTGTAAGAAAAATGTTTCTGGCATCTAAAAATGTCACAAGTTCAAAAAACTGTACGTGACATTTAAAAAAATGTATTTATACAATGTCAAAACATATTCGTGTGATTAAAAAAGTAACATTTCAAAAATGTTCATGAGTTTCAAAAAATGTGTTTGTGACACTATAAAAAGGTATACACTATTAAAACAATGTTTGTATAATCCATAAAAATATGTGATGCCATTAAAAAAATATGTGACACTTATTTGAAAAAGTGTGTGCAATTTTAAAAATGTTTAAACAATGCGAAAAATGTTCATTTATTTTTATAAAATGTTTATTGTCATTTAGAAAATGTAAATTGTGTATTTGGCAAAATGTTATTGCGTATTCAGAAAAGTGTTGAAAACAGATAATTTAAAAAAATGCACAAAATGTATTTGAAATTTTTCAAAAGTGTGTCCGAAAGTATTCCATGTGTGCGTCAAAATGTACATTGCGTACTTTGAAAAGTTAGACATGTGTAGTAAAGAAAGCCGGTTAAAACCGGCATAGAAACAAAAAAGTAAACCAAAACAAAAGAAAGAAAAACAGAAAAAACAAAGAAAAAATCTATTACAAAGAAGAAAAAAGCGAAACAAAACCAATGAAAAAAGAAAGAAAAAGAAAAGGAAAAAAATAAAAGAAAAAAAGAAAAAAGAAAAAACTTACAAAGAAAAAGCAGAGCAGCGGGAGCGCGATAGACTGGGCTAATGGGCCCGCCCGATTTGACTTGCCACATCAGCGAACACCAGCTAAAAACTCTCAAGGTTTGAAATAGACCAGATTAAAAATTTGATGTGCTGATTTCAGGGATTATAAGTTAAGGATTCGATTTAGCTTTCGTCTTTATTTTAATGTTTAGATTTAACTTTTGTCTATAAATTTAAGGTTTATTTCAAACTTTTTCCACTTGGTAGGCATCGTCTGTCGATCAAAATTTACAATGCACAAGCTCGACAGACACGAGCGCTGCTATACATGGTCCCATGTGGCAAATTTACAATGCACAAGCCCGACAGACACGAGGCTATACACGATCCCATGTGGCAACGCCAACAGCATGCGTACATGCATGAGGCAATTGGTTTTTTTGTTAGCTGATGCGTGCATAGTATATCGTTCCCAGACCATGCAGACCGTGTCATTTGTGAAGCAATTTGGCACACACACGTCACCACCACCACCACTACGGTTGTTTTGTTTTACAATTGCATTGCATCATTAGGGCATCTTCAAGACGGATCCGGAAACCTTCCGCGACCATCTGGATCGCGTTGTCCGGACCGTAAAAGCCATCCAACGTGATCTTGTATCGGTCCCAGGGCAGTCCGGACGCGATTTTTCTTGTAAACTGGGGACAAACGTGGGGTCTTTATGGGAGTCCTGGTCGCTCCTAAGTCCGTTTCTGACCGCTTCGGCCCATCCAAAACCCAACCCGCCCCTCCCGCGTTTTCCTGCCGATGCACGCGCCGATTACCGCACCACATTTATGCCACCCCAGAGCACGAAACGACCGACATTGATGTCATGATGTGACCGGAGGGAAGGAGGGCGACGCTGACCGACGCGAACTCTCGACGGCAGCCACTACAATGCGAACGCAGGTTCCGAGGAACCAACTCCGGCCGTTGCGACGCATTGAAGCGGACCGCCCTTCGCCTGGGCCTCGGCTATTTAAACCGTGCGTCGGCGATGCACAGAGCCGCACCCCCCCTCCCCGAGCACCGGCCCCCTCCGCTCTCCCGTCTTCGTGCCCGAGCCCCTCCCTCCTCCTCTTCGGCCCAAGCTCAGGCGATGCCGAAGTCGTGGTGCTCCGCACCGGCAGGCGGAGTAGGTGGAAGCTCCTCCTCCGGCGATTCTTGGCGCCGCCGCAGACGCTCTTCGGACCCGTCAGTTTCCATGGCGGCCGGCTCCTCCGCCAAGGAGAAGATCGTCATCTTCTTCGATGACGAGGAGGACCAGGTTCCGTCGCAGCGGCCGCAGGAGCCACCACAGCAGCCGCTGTCAGTGTCAAAACCGGCCGATCTCGGGTAGGGGGTCCCGAACTGTGCGTCTGAGGATCGAAGGTAACAGGAGACAAGGGACACGACGTTTACCCAGGTTCGGGCCCTCTTAATGGAGGTAATACCCTACTTCTTGCTTGATTGACTTTGATGAGTATAGGGGTTACAAGAGTAGATCTACCTCGAGATCGTAATGGCTAAACCCTAGATGTATAGCCTATATGATTATGATTGACTCTACGGACTAAGCCCTCCGGTTTATATAGACACCGGAGGGGACTAGGGCTATACAGAGTCGGTTTACACAAAAAGGAAACTACACGTGTGGCCGCCAAGCTTGCTATCCACGCAACGGAGAGTCCCATCCGGACACGAGGGAAAACCTTCTATCATGTATCTTCATGGCCCATCAGCCCGGCCCATGTCACATAGCCCGGATGCCCGAGGACCCCCTTATCCAGGACTCCCTCATTAGCCCCCAAACTCACCTTCAATGACGACGCAATATCCGGCTTTATGTCTTCGGCTTTGCAAGGCGGGTTCTCCATTACACTTCGGTTTGACGATAATCCGGCTCCACATTAAATATCATATTATATTGGTTCTTTGCTGCCGTCGCCCCGGCTTCCACGTGTCGGATGAATGCGAATGGCCTAGGTGGTTTTTTTTACAAATAACCCCTTGACCGCGCAGGGAAGGCGTCTATTTACGGAGATTGGATCTCAGATGCCATTCCACACCACGCGGAAATCCTTAGAACTCGCCATAGGAAACTGCTCAAACATGGTTGGCGCTCCTGGCTCTTCTTCACGCCCCCACGGCCTCCAAAAAGGCGAGTGGGAAAGATGCTCAATATCCCGCGCCCATCTGAATAAACTTCAGACGCAGGGATATCTTCCTCCCGAGGATCTAGTCTCCGTTCGGGCTGGATTAACCTCCCATAATGGCGAAGCCTTAGCGGAGAATTTCCCCAATCCTTCTAAAGAGGAGCGGGTGTGCTTCGTTTCCTTCCTTCTGAGGGGCGTAGGTGTTGGGGAACGTAGCAGAATTTAAAATTTTCTACGCATCACCAAGATCAATCTATGGAGTCTTCTAGCAACAAGAGGAAAGGA